ATCATCATCATCATCATCGTCATCGTCGTCGTCATCGTCTTCGTAGAAGTCGCGTCGTCGTCCGTGGTAGTACTACTCGTTGTTTTAAATTCTGATTCCCGTACGACGCAACAGGAAGGAATTGCTTATATTCGTAGCTTTTGTTAAAATGTCTTCCATTACGTCACGCGATCGTTCTTTCGTTACACGTTCAGTTTTATTACTTCCTTGTTGTACGCTTTCGAACCTTTACAGAGAAAATACGAAGCTCTCTTGTGCCAATTTTCAAGAAAATTTAAGGGAAAAGAAGATTAAATTTCTCTTTTTGTTTTTTTTTTTTTTCTTTTTCTTTTTCCCACCCTCATAAAAATCGATCTTTATCTCTTCGCTTACGTATCTATGACGTTGATCTTGATTCTATTTATTTGGAATGATCCTCGATATAGATAGATATTTGGCCGATTTTGGAAGATCATCGTTGACTTTTAGTTTGCGTGTTATAACGTATTTGCACCGAGAATGTACATGAATTTACAATGTAGAGAGAGTGAGAGAGAGAGAGAGAGAGAATATACGTTGAGAGTGGTGTGTTAGTGATTCTGGTATTTCTCGTGACCTAGATACGAGCGATTCGAGGAAGGGTACATAATCTCGCATAATGGAGTAAGATTATTACCATTGTCATCGTTCTTATTACCAGCTTCGATTTGTATGTATATTGTCAGAAATTGCAATGACCTAGCTAATCTCTTTCCGTTTATTATAATTAATCATATTATCGTCTCAATTTATAATCAATTAATAATCAATTATAATCAATATTCATCTCTGATATTATCTTTGAAATATAACAGAAATGATTTAGAAGGTTTCACGTTGAAATTATTTGATTTATAAATTGTTATCATTTCTAGGCATAATTATTTAATTTATAGTGGTACATTTTTTTTCTCGCAAACAAACGTTCGATGAAAATTGATTGATTACTTTTTGATAGTTCAAAATGATAATGTTCAATGTTGAATTAGATTAATCATTTCCGATTAATCTCTCGTTAATGCTGCAAATATCACTAACGTGGTTGGTTTGCATACCTACACGTGTAGGTTGTTTTCGTTGAATAAATAAATGCACGTGAATTAACTTTGGCAACGTGATTTTACATAGTGTTTACTACAAAGATCTCGTTTTATATATATATATATATATATTATTTATATATATATATATATATACATATATGTATGTATCGATGATATCACGAATATCGCAAGTACACTATATACGTATGGATATTGTATAACGTATTTATTGTATGTATTTTATATCGTACGATTATGAGAGACATGACATCAGTATTGAACTTTTGAACTCGAACTTCATTTGTTTTTTTATAAAAGAGATAAAGAAGATAAGATTGACAGCAGAAAAAAGTGAAACGAAATTATAGAAAAATTCGAGAAAATTAAATATTTGTTTATTGTGATACATATGGTTTCTTAGATAAAATGTAGGTATACGGTAAGATTGCAATAATTAATATTTAATGAATGATTTGACGTTGAATTTGTTTTATTATTTAAAATTTTTTTTTTTTTTTTTTTTTTTTTTTTTTTTTTTTTTTTTTTTTTTTTTTTTTTTTTTTTTTTTATCTAAACGAACAAATAAATTCTCTTCAAGCTTATTTTTCGTATGAAATACGTTAAACTCCAAAAGAAGTAAATACTTTGTTGAATTCTATTCCAGCCATTTGGTTAGCGAATCACGCGTTATCATACGACAGCGTTTCGTTACATGTGCTTATCCGATACGCGATATAATACAATTAAAATCCTTATCAGATAATTTTGCGAGCTGTACTGAAAAACACAAGAGTATATACGCGTACACACACACACATATATATATATATATATATGCGCTCATGTCTTTTATTCACGTCGTCTATTTCTTTCTTTTTTTTTGTATTCGAGAAAGGTTAAAGAAGAAAAAAAAAAGAGTTATGCGTGTAAACAGTCAGTATTATCAACGCTTACTCATATCAAATAATATATTAGAATCGAAAATATATTATCGATAGTTTTAATGATGAAGAAGGATGTATATGTTTAATTTCATTTATCGGAATGAAACTTTTCTTTATTGTTATTATAATATATGTACATGTATACGTATAGGCGTGAATGCAAAATGACGAGAAAGAAAGAGAGTAGATTCGTCGAGATGACAGACAAATGTAACACATGGCTGGAAGGACTGTACTTAACATATAGGCAAACGTGCGATAAGAAAGTTGATAAAACGAATCGATTGAGAAATCTTGGAGAACACAGAAACACGAGTCGTGTTCTATCGCGTTAGAAGATAAAAATCGACGATTATTCTTTAATCCCTTTTTCCTTTTTTTTTTTTTTTTTTTTTTTGTTTTTTTTTTCGATTTCAATTTTCTTTGTCTTATCTCGTGAATTTTATTTAATTATTGATATAAACGTTAATAATAGAAATGTATTTAGATATATCTAGAGACGTAAACAGTATTTAGAACGAGCGGGGAGATAATTGCGATGGATCCTCCCTCTCTACTACTCCATCCGTAGTCGATTTTAATTTTGAGGAAAAACAAGAAAACAACTTAATTAATCAAAATATTTTATGGATATCAGTTCTTTCAGCTTTTTTACGAGTTTCTTAGCATTGATATAGCTCAAAGCACATGTCCTACTACGTCCCACCCTAAATACGCCTCTATTTAATTTAGACTTATTTATCTATGATATATATATGTATGTATATGTATATTTGTATTATCATTATAATTATATTCTTTCTTTATTTTTATTTTAATGATGATTTCGATCACAGCCAATGTCCACACTTTTATCAGAAAACATATTTAACTAATCTTGTCTTAATAAGCTTTGGTCTGGAGACCGATCGAAGATATATATATATATATACATAAGTTGAACATAAATAACAAAGGCGATAGTTCGAAGAACATACTTTAAACGAGACACGAACGTGTAAATTTATGATACTGTCTACGTACGTAGAAGAGCTATCGTAAAAATCTACTGTAATATCGATCTAAACGATGACGTCATGAGGGGTGGCTGCGTGCCAGAAAAAGAAAGGAGAAGGATAAAAAGAAAAATAAGTAGAGGAAGAAGCTAGGGACGCAGACAAATGGATATTGACAAATTTCTTATTTACATTATATCTCTAACTCGATCACGTCAATCAAAAAACAAACAATATTATTTAATAATGGACTTACAATCATGTTTTGCATTAGCCATTATTAGATCAATTAATCAATCAATGTGCTACTGTTAAACAGTTATATAAGAAGAATTGTGTTAGAGTATATAGATATCTTTCTTCAATAGTATCGTAAAGTTATATATAGTCGCAATAACATACATTTCTCAGTCGTCGTCGTCGTCGTCGTCGTTGTTGTCATTGTTGTATTCAAGAAAGAATAATACAAAAGTACAGAAATTTTATTCGAAAAGAGAAGGATCATTATGTGAGCCAGTGATTATGAAAATGATCTAATTGGAAGTCATTTTTGAGATATTAAAAAATAAAAAATCTTTTTTGTCATACCCTATTGTTAAAGTAATTTTTAGATTATATAAAAGATATATTTACTTTTTTTTGCGTCTGTCATTATAGAAAAATAATTTTTTAATTTAAATTTTTTAAAGGATATTTTTTTTTCTTTCTTTTTTTTTTATTTTTCTTGTTTCTCACTTTTAATCTTTTGGCCGTACGATATTAACAAGAATATAAACATTCGTTCTATATTGAAGTTTTTCAAATTTCTTGCGAAGTTTTTTTCGTTCGATAAAACTTTTTAGTTAAAGCGTCGACCAACACTCCTGCTGGCTTAGTGTAGTAAAAAAAACTAGAAACTGGCGACACGCTTTCTAAGCCTCATTCTTAGATATTGCTTTTGAAACGTTAGAAAGGGGGAGTTTGCCCAAGCAAACGATTAGAATTAGGGAACAAAGGGAATTCAAAGGAGCCTCGATATTTTTACATCCTTGTTCGTCCATAATTTTTTTGTTGATCTCACATCGTCAAGACGAAACTGTTCATGAAATTTTTCGATTTTTATAATCGATGAACGAAGATTTTTATAAATCCAAAAAGGAATTATTACGGCAAGAATGTACCTACTGTTAAAAGCTATGATTATTTCCCTTTGAGCCAATATTCCGATTAATGTTGAACGAGTATGAGCTCAATTTAAAATGAATTTTACGCTAGTCAATCCATCGAACGAGTTACTTCGTCGAGCCTTTGTTAAATGGAATGCAAGTGTAATCGATTGTCGAGAAGCCTGTTTCGGTACACGAGCTTCATGTTTTAACACGTCAAATTATCTTCTTCTATTTCAATATTTGTTCTAGGAAACACAATTTTGTTATGATTTTTCGTTCCAACTTTTTTTATTCTCTCATCCCTCTCGTTACATTATTGTATTGTCTAAAAGAAATGTGAAATATTCGAAAATTTCTGCAACGAAGCTCAGTTGCATCTCGAACTTTCAATCGTGCTTGGAATGAAAGAGAGCAAAGGGCAATTCAGTCTATAAATTATATTATTCGAATCGCCTTTTCTGCCGATGCCATCGACGAGTCGAACGGAGCTTCGAATAGCGGAGTAATAATCACGCGGTGTAATAACAAGGGTTAGAAAAAAATTGCTTTTTATCTTGTATTGCCGTATTCGTTAATGATTACGCTATTTATGCGTAAATAATAGAGTAAGAAAGTTAATCGACGAAATTGTCCTATTAAATTTTTACCGCTTTTACGTACAATGCCGTCTAATTCTTGCAGCGAGATTTTTAAGTAATATTAATTATTTATAAATATTGCCTTTCATTGAAATTATTATTGATATTGATATCAAACATCTCTTTAATTTTTTTTTTTTTTTTTTTTTTTTTATTAAATATGATAGATCCTCCAAACATAATGCCTTTTTTGTTTTTGTATTGTTTTAATTAGAGAGACGATACCAGTTTATTGGCTCAGTTCTTTTACGCCGATGAATCCCTAAACGCAATTGCCTGTGAGCTGGATTCTTTCGATGGACGTCAGGAGCCAGAAAGATGTACAACTTTGGTGAATCAGCTGCGACATTGCCAGGACAAAGTCCTGACGATATGTAATCAGATCATGGATGATCTTATACCAGACAGTAGAGCTAATCGGGACTTTAGAGTAAAGTTTCCGGACGACGTGATGCAGGAAAATTTAGCAGGACAACTGTGGTTCGGTGCTGAATGTTTGGCTGCTGGATCGTCGATCATGAACAGAGAGTCCGAAAGTTCTGCTATGAGGCCGTTAGCAACGGCACTCACGAAATCATTAGAGATTGTGAGAAATTTGCTGAGAGAGCATGCGTTGAAGGGCCACATGAATTTAAAGGTATCGTTGAAAAGAAGGGAAAAAAATTTGTTCTTTTTACTTGTTCTTCTTCTTTGAAGGAACAAGTAAAAGTCGTTGGTTGATCAAACTCTGTAATTATTTTCTTTTCAGTATCTTTCTCAGACTCAAAATCCTTTGGAGCCATCTTTAGAGAAGCTGATAGAATCGTTAAAGATTTTCGATCGGCTCTTCGCTGACTTTGAGCTTTGTTACGTTGGCGCCATGGTACCGGTCAAATCCACGAAGGAATACGAGCAGCAGGAGCTCGTTTGCGTTTTATTTTCCGAGACTTTGCAAAGAGCCCTCGAACGAGGTTTGCTGAGTCAAGCAGACGTGGATAATTACGAACCTGCTTTGATGTTCACTATACCACGTTTGGCCATTGTATCCGGCTTGTTGGCCCCACCTGGAGGTCCCTTGTGCCTGAATTCTCCTGATACTATCAGCGAAATGTTCAGGCCATTCAGGGTAGGCTCGTTAATCCATTACTATGGAATAATTATCTAATTCAAATACGAAGAGTTTATACGAACGTATCTTTCTTTCTGAAATACATACTCGTGTAAATTTAAGCTGATAAGTGGTTTAATAATTAACATGATCGTGTTACTTTTCCATGTAGACTCTTCTCTTGAAGATAAGAGAACTACTTTGGACTCTGAACAATCGTGAACTTTATATGCTGGAGAAGTTATTGTGCTCGAACGAAGAACCCTCGGGTCCTATCAGCCAGTCGACAAAATCCACGTGTCAGGACTTACCCGATCTCGAGGAATTCGTTCACAATTTTTATACCGGTTATCCTAATTGTAAAGACTTCATTGTAGATTTCTATACGGTAACGAGAAACACAGGGAATAATATGGATGAGGTGGCGAACGACGTGGTTCAAGCGTTGGACAATGAAAATAAAGAAAGATTGGCGGAAAGGAGATCGAAGAAGGATCGTGAGAGGGATCGTAGAGAGACGAGATATAACGAGGAAAATGGGCCCAAGGACTTAAATAACATATCCACGGAAGGATATGATAACGTTGTAGTTCGTAACGATAATAATGTGAAGGTACAGGATAATAGTGAGAGAGAAAGTGTTCGAGAAGATGTGCGTTGTGACATAGTACAAAGTAATAGTTCGAAAGAGAAAAAGCAACAGGCATGTAATCGCGATTCTTGTCCCGTAAAGCAGGTATCGAGCGAGAACGGTAATAAAGGAGAAATTGAGAATGTCAGGGAGGAAGGTATAGTAGTAGTAGCAGCAGTCGAGGACGGTATTTTTAGTACCGTGGAAAGTTCGGGCGAGATCAATAGGCAGGAGGAAAACTTCCTCACTCCTGACATTTCTCAAATGCTCGCTGACTCGGAAAACGTAGAGATTCTTCAAAGTCAGTACCTACTCAATCAGGTATCTCACGAGAACAATGTAACGGGTGAAACCGTGCATATTCAAAATTCTCTGCCGGATTTGGACTCGAAGAAACTCATTTCCGAGGCAAACAAGACTCTCTCGAATCTTTTGTTGGACGGTGAATGTCAGAATGAAATCTCCGAGCAAACAGATTCGGGAATATGTACGGTCATATCCTCGGAGAACACGAGCTTGTACGATAAAAGTCCCGAGGAGAAGAAGACTTTCGCTAATGAGATTCAGGACGACGAGCGTGCTTTAGAAGATGACACGCAGGAGAATAACAGCTATTCCTGTTCTAACGTAAACTCACCAAGGAGAAAGAATTCGAACATGTCTGAAAGTTCTTGCGTCTGTGGTATAAGAGCTTCGAAAACTATCACGTCTTTGGATCATCCGATAGACGTGACACCTTTGACTTCAGGAAACAACGATTCTAATAAAAACATTCCAAGGATTTCCTCAAATTTCGATGGCACCAACGAGGAGTTCGTTGGTTTGGCTTATGGTAACGGGCACCTGCCGCTCTGCGACTCCAATCAGACCAGCTTTCAATTGAATTATTCAGAAAATTGGGAAAATCTCAATTTGAATATAGACGCGTCGACCTCGAGGAAGGAATTTTGGAGCGATCTAAAGTGCGAGAATTGTCCGTCAACGTCACAGAATATCGACAAAATGGGAAATAAGATAGAGAGATACGCGCAGGAGAAGGTCATCGCTAGGAAGGTCCGAGATGACAAGCAAAGACGACGTAATCAACGGAAGCACGACAAAGGCCTTCACAAATGTCAACAGGTTACAAGAAGTAATCATTGCGTTCAGTCGACCCCGAGCACTGAAAGTTCAAGGTCAAACTCGATAGACAGGTGTTTGAATCCACGATTGACCAACTTTGGTGCGAGCTTGCATCCGAGCCAAAACACAAGACAGATGCCAAATTTTGGTAGTCACAGTCCGCACGCGAGTCCAAGGCTACAACATTTCGAGTCACGTGACAGCTCGAGACAACGAAATTATAATTTATCGAAGTCGACGAGAAATTGTTCGCCACAGAGTAGAAAGCTTTTGGATCACAGAAGATCTAGGTCCGAGCAGATAGCTCGTATGAAGCGAAAGGACTTTGAGAAACGTGACAGGTATGAAAGACTGAGTTATCGATCCGAACAAACCAAGAGGAAACTTGGAAATAGGAGTCCTAACGACCTGTTGAACGACGGTTTAGGGCCTAGAACGGACAAGAGCGGTCTGGTAACGGAAACAATATCTCCCGTTACGTCACCAAATACATGTTATAGGCTCGAAAATACAAGAGACAATAATTTACAAAGGCCTCCACGTACCGCGAGATTGGTGAATCCTTCAACGGTCACCGGAACGCAATCTTTCAATTCGGAACAGACGCAGAAAACAGAGGCCGTTGGTTCGAGTTCCAGTTGTTCGAGTTATTGCGATTCCAGTTCAGAAACTAGCGAATTTCAAAGCGATTGTCAGGATGACGAGGAGATAGCCTTAGCGATGCAAGCTGCGGAGATTGCGAATAGAAATCAGATTAGAGCGAAATTTAGGTAATAACGTTGTTCTCATTTTTAATGGTATACCTATCTTAAAACTATAATAGACATTTTCTAATAGACTTTTCGAATGATCGATCATTAGGTCCTCGGAAGATCTTGTTCATCGATTGTTCGTCTGTATAGCCGGCGTAGCCGATCAACTCCAAACAAATTTTGCTTCGGACCTTCGGAATATCCTGAAGTGCGTCTTTCTTATGAATAGTAGTCAAACTGTAGAGGACGAAGAGCCAAAGCAAGAATGTTTGGTATCCAGCCAAGCAGTCGTTACGAATCACACGTTAGGCACGAGTAGCAATCACGATCGGCAAAACTCGTTGCAGGAGTACGAAGACGAAGAGGATAATGGTCCTGCAAACGAACAAAGTAGAAATATTACTTTATTATAACGTATTTATTAAAAGAAATATCATATTATCCTATATAATTTTCTCTAATTGATTTACATTTTTTTTTATCTTGTATCACTTTATTTCTAGCTTCCACGGCAATGGAACGCGGTGAGGAATGCGTCGAAAGAGCACCTGCGTGGGTGCCAGACAACGATGCACCTAGGTGCATGGCTTGTCAAGCAGGATTTACTGTTGTACGCCGTAGACATCATTGTAGAAACTGTGGTAAAGTGTTTTGCGGTCGTTGTAGCAGCAACAATGTTCCTTTACCGCGTTACGGCCATACCAAGCCTGTCAGAGTCTGCAATAGATGTTTCCTTTACCAGGTGACGCCGTTTACCGTTTCTCAAGTCACACCCACCAGTTGAATAGATAACATCTTTAATGATTATCGAATTTAATTACGGATCGTATAATAAATTTTACGCTTCTCTTATAGGACACGACAAACGTATTTCAAAACGACAAATATCGCTTCGTCTTTTGTTCTTTTTATTTTCAAGTTTTCTGGGGAACAGTTTACACACATATATATACACTTTTTTTCTTTGTTTGTTTCTTTCTTTCTTTCTTTCTTCTTTCTTTTTTTTTTCTTTTTTCTTTTTATTTTTTTTTTTTTTTTTTACTTTCGATGACGTGTTACTTGAACGTTCATGTCAAGCGTGTCAATGAGTCTGGTAATTTCTGGTGTCTCCGATCTTTATCGACGATTTTAAGAATAACATTCTATTAAAAAGATTTGCTTCTACGCAAATGTCGATCGATCGAAGTCGAAGAACTGATAGTTATTACCAGATATGCTATTAACGTATATATGCTCAAATCGTACAGTCGATAATGGCGCAAATTCCATTAATACCTCTCATTAATAATAGTAAGAATATGTAATAATAATCGCCTTTATATCTTTCAATCGACCTGCCGTAATAACTTCTATGACCCAGAGCCGCAAATAGAAGCGTTTCAGTGTAATCTCAGTTGCACGTAAAAATGATAGTCTTATATTTGCGTATAATTTTGATTAAAAAATAATAAAAAAAAAAAAAAAAAAAAAAAAAAATAAATAAATAAAAAAAATAAAAAAAAAACAAAAAAAAAATAAAGAAAAAAAAGGAGAGGGGCAAAAGAGAAAGGAGAAATAGGAAAAGAATTGTTATTTTACTTTTTCTTTTCTTTTATTTTTTTTTTTTTTTTTTCTTCCTTTTTGTACAGCAATATATAATCGTTTACTTATTTTTGTTTTTATTTTTTTCGTAGAATTTTATTATCACTTATAAAGATGTTTTTATTTGTTATAGAATGTAGGAAATGGGGGGGGAGGTGCTGCTGAAACGCGTTTTATACAAATTTCTTATATTTTTCCTTATATAAATCTATCAATATATGTAAAAACAATTTGTGTGCATATATATCATAATTGTGAAAATCTGCGGTGTATAGTGGAAAGCAAAACACAACGTGTTCCTGCATTCTATCGTCTGCTTAGGTTTATTTTTCTTTTTCTTTTCTTTTTTTTTTTTTTTTTCTTTTTTCTTTCTTTTTTTCCCAAGATAATATCTCTTTAATTGCAAGAGGAATCATTTTGTTATTGCTTTTATGAAAAGCATTGGAACTTATGCAACCAGTAATATCTAAGCTAAGTAATGTATCTTCGAGTACGACCTTTGGCAAGTTCGAGGATTGGAAGGAGAATCGATGGACGTTGAAAAAGAATATTACTCAACGATAAACCTATAACCGCGAGTTCATTTTTCTAACGACTGTGAACTAACCAAGGATTTTACTCGTGCGATGATCTTATTTCGATAGCAAAAACGATCGATTATTGACTGTATGTGAAATTTCAAAATGTAACTCGAGCGCATTGTTGTATAGAGAACTTCTTTTTTTTTTTTTTTTATTTTGTTTTGTTACATATATAAAAAAAAAAAAAAAAACAAAAAAAAAAAAACAAAACGATCTATGATAAAAAAAACATCGCGCGCGCGCGCACATACACATACACATACACATACACACATAACATAGAGAAACAGATATACACACATGGGTGTGGGTAGTGTGTAGAAACACTCTCTTTAATATCCTCATTTCAATTAAGTTAAGATCAAATGGGACACATGTTAATATGAACTTTTTTCATTATTTTGGTGCATCCTTGTCTCGTCCGCGTTATAAAGTGCGTCCCATGTGTTACGAAATATCCTATATATTTTATAGCTACTCGTTCATTTTCTACTAGAGAGAGAGAGAGAGAGAGAGAGAGAGAGAGAGAGAGAGAGAGAGAGAGAGAGAGAGAGTGAGAGAATGAGAGAAAGAGAGCGTACGCGTGTACATATGGAAAATATTTCAAGAACGGAGAGAGAGTTGCTCATACGTATACACACACACACATATATATATATACATATATGTTTATCTAATATTATATATATGTGTGTAGAATATTAAATAGGAAAGAAGAAAGGCAAGGAGGATGATGCGAATTTTGAATTCAATGCTTATGTACGAATGGCACACGCGTATTGATCGTGCTACGGAATTAGCTGGAAACGCTATACGCAGGAACATATATTTGAAAGTTATATACATACACAACTGCGGCATATCCTGCGGAATTCGGAAAAATGGGGGAGAGGGAAAAAAAGAATTAAAAATCAAAATGAAAAAAAAAGAAAAAGAAAAAAAAAAGAAACAAAAAACAAGAAATAAAAAAACAAATTAGAAGAAATCCAATTAGAAAATGTGTATCATCGGCACATCTTTGCGTCGTTTGTGTGCCAAACATTTGCGATGACAATAAGTTTCGTTCTCCTTGCATCAATTTTTTTAATGTTTCAATATACAAAAAAGAAAGAGACAAATAATTTTTTTTTCTTTGTTTTTCTTTTTTTCTTTTTAAGCGACTTATAAAAAATAATTTTTGAGAGAACTTCTCACGTGGAACGTATGTCATCATCATATTTGCGACCGTTCTAATGTTAATTGCAACGAATCCTAATCAGGATGTATAACAGATCGATGCAATTCGTTCGTGTGTATGTGTTAACGTGGATTATTAAGACTGTTCGAAATATAAAAGTTCGCTTGCGTTATATATGTGTGTATATATATATATATATATACACACGTAGGTTTATGTATTTATATGCATACCTTTAATACGTTTAATAAGTTAATACGTTAATACGAAGGTTCATTGTAATTGTTCATGTAAATATGAGATAATCCTGTCATTTGTTATTTTCTTTTTTATTTTTTGTTAATTCAAACGAAAGAGGAACGCATACACATACACACAGACAAATTGAAATTTTTAATGTTTCAACAAAAAAAGAAAAAAAAAAAATAAGAAAGAAAAAATTAAAAAGAAAATATTTATTTATAAGATTTTTCTCGTGCATTTGTAGTACATGCGTACAATTTGTAAAACGTTGTAATCACAGAGTTACGTGTCCAATCTTATCAGAAATCTCCTTATCGACAGAACTTTGAAGGAGAACCTCTCTTCGTCGGTTTTTTTTGTCTTTTTTCTTTTTTTTTCTTTTTTTTTTTTTTTTTTTTTTTTTTATCGTAAGATTTTCCGCTTTTTTTTTTTATTACAATATATAATTTTTTTTTTTTTTTACGATTTAGAACGCGTATTTCATCATTATTAGTATTATTACTGCCATGGTGGATTATTAAGGACGTTTTAAATAATATAGGCATACAAAAAGATTTTTCTTCTAATAACGTACTTTCTTTCGCTCTTGATCGATTACTTTCTTCTTAGACGATAAAATATAATAAAATATAGCGACGTTTTTAATAATACAATTAAAAACGTAATACGAAGAGGCATGTTATATAATTTACATATATATATATAATCTCTATATATACACAAACATATATATATATATATATATGTATGTATGTATGTATGTATATAACATGAACAGGCGCGCGTTACACGCAATTGTTAAGTAAATTAAGTGAAGAGTTATATTGAATTAACAAACTCTTTTACGAATTTCGTCGTCGTAAATGCGTATAGATAACGAACAAAATATATATCGAAATCGATAATATGCAAAGTTTGACAATTTTTTGGGTAAAAATAATAAGGAATAGAAAGATCGTGTACGTTTTCCTTGTTAGCGATTATTATATTCTTATACTCGTTGTGTAATTGCTTTTAAGATGGCCATGCACTTGACTGTCGACGTCTGGCAGTATTTTTAGATTAAATGAACAAACAGCTATGATGAAGAATAAAAATAAGAAGAAGAAGAAGAAGAAGAAGAAGAAGAGGGGAGAACGAAAAGAGGAAATAAAAGAAAGAAAACGAATATAACACAGCAGTTCACTGTCAATAATAAAATTCTAATTACGCTGGCATGTGTTAGGGCCTATTAGGGGCAAAGAAAAAGAGAGAGAGAGGGAGGGAGGGAGGGGTATGATTAAATGATTATACATCTACCATATATATATATATATATGTATGTGTGTGTGTATATATATATATATTTATATATACACACACACACCATGTAGGAGATTTTTCAGAAGGCTGATATTATTCCTCGTTTATATATTTTAGCTCCAGCATTCCGATTTATACGTGAATTTTTTCACTCCGCGTATATAGATAACAACATCCTCGAGAACCAATCAAAATCTCAGTATTCATCTGTTAAGACACAATTTGGCCCTTCCGTATTTGCAAAAGAAAGGAAAAGAAATTAGTATATATATATATATATTAGTATATATATATATTAGCATTCTCTTTTAATTCCATTGTCTCGTGAGTAATAATGATTTTGAGAGCTGAGAAAAATAAAAACAAACAGGACCAAGTTCCAAAGTTGAAATTCGATCAGCAGGATTATTGTAAAGTCCGAGAGGGATTATTTTTTTGTATCATTATTGTAAATAATATGCAAATATTCTATTACCCGCAATATCATTACTAATCATATATTATAGTGTACATCCTTATTTTAATACTTTTATTCGTTTATTAAAAAAAAAAAAAAATTCTTTTTTTAATTTTTTATTTTGTTATTTTTTATTTCTTTTTAATTTTTTTTCTTCTTCGTCTTTTCTACTTTTCTAATGTCTTTCATTTCGTCGATTTCTTTCAGTCAAAAAAATTTCTTTTAAGTTTTATCCATATATTTTTTTTTCTTTCTTTCTTTCTTTCTTTCTTTTCTTTTCTTTTCTTTTTTTTTAAATAATTCTTTTTTATAATTTTTTTTTCCTTAGCTCAGACGAATTTGTTGCGAGATAGGAGTCGACAAAGAATTTTTGTAGACGAAGAGAATAATATACACTAAAGAAAATGGAAAAAAAAAAGAAAAAGAAAAAAAGAGAGAGAAACATATTTTTCGTCTTCTAATACTTATTAATGAAGAAGAAAAAAAAATTATTCTCGATCCTGTTAGCATCTTAGCTATTTATATATCCGCTGTCCGATGTATGTGTGTGTATGTATCTATATATATACATATATGTACACACATTCTCACACACAAATATATATATATAAAAAGAAGAAAAAAAAAATATTGGTTAGACACGAAGAACTTTGTCGAATTATTTGACGGACGTAGCAGCGGATTTTCAAATTATCGTGTAAGGAAAAAATGCATATAGCGAGATAATACAGACAAAAAAAAGACGATGTTTCTTTCATTCTCTAAACGTGTGTTGACAAAAAGAAAAATAAATAAACAAAAGAATAATAAAATAAAATTATAATAATAATAATGATAATAATAATAATAATAATAATAATAATTATAAATACTTGAGACACGCGGTGAAACGCGATTGCTTCTAATTAAACTTTAGATAATTACATATGTATGTATATGTATATATATACGTACGTAGATGAAGGAGAAAGAAAAAGAGAAATTGAGTATATAGATTATGTTTAGAAGAATAGGAAGAAGAAGAAGAAAAAGAAAAAGAAAACAAAAGAGAAGAAAGAGCGTGGCTTGAGCGAAAGAATTATTTTTTACATGTATGCACAAATGTATAAGATGCCTTGCTCGGGGAAT